GGACAGGGAGTTTGTGGCTTATATTGAAAATCACCTGAGTGAGAAGAACCCAGACAAGTCAAGGGACAATGCTGGTGCCTAACTGTCACTAACTGGGTCTCACATTTCTTATTCAATGTACAGCATGGAATTTTAAAACAAGTACTTGTCAGGAAACCACACAGCAGCAAGCTTAGAATTCCTGAACTTACAAAATAACCCATGGAAACAGTGTGGTGGAAATACAATAAAGCACAAATGACACAGACAGGAACAATTTGGTGAGCGCTCCCTAATCACCCTCGCTTAGTGACCTAGTCACAGCATGAACAATGTCCTTTCTTCTCTCCTGCATGAGGAGGGAAATGTGGTCAGAGGAAAGACGGGATGCCAAAATCGCCTGTTTTCATTCCGCTGGTGACCCTGGCTTCAGGCAAGGCTTGACGTCTCTGCTCTAGTTTTTCCAATTGTAAAATGAAGTTGGTAGTAATGAACCTAACCTAACCAGTATTTTATTCAAAGCTGAGAGTATCCATTCAGCATAAGGCCTTGGGTTATAATAGCCACTGGGAGAAAAATCACTACAACCACAGGAAATACTTTTATCTCCAACCTTTTGGGGTGAAAAATGGAATTTCTTTCCTCTTTTTCATAAAATGCTTTGGTTTGGTTTGCCTTACAAGGTCTCCTCTCTGTTGATCTCCTATGTGCTATCTACACATGGACTAGAAACATTATGTAGAGTAGTATATCTCAACTTGTTTTTCAGTACCAATCCCCTCAGAAGGTTTTCAGGGCATTTTTGTGTTAATCGTGGCCCCTCTGTATGAAATTTTAATACCAGAGAGATATTATCTCTTTATGTACCACATCCCTTTGGAGGGCCACAAACCACTGTAAATCTAAGATATTTACCCTTCCCTAGGAACCAATTCTGACCCCACTGGGGCAATGCTGGTCCCACTGTGGACTCATGATGTGACAGGATCTAGCTTACGAAGTGTGTTCAGATCCTGAAGAGCTAGCTTCCAAAAGCAGGGGCTCAAATGGGGGTTTCTGAAGAGACTGAGAATGCTGAAGAGAAAACTGGATAGACCAGATAATTCAATATGATGTCAAAGCTACACATCGCCTGAAGAAATCCAAATATTCAAGGAAGAACCATCTCATTCTTCCAGGGCTGGCAAGTCTTTGGGGCTGACAACATCCCTCAGTGGCTCAGGTCCAGCTCGGTCTCAATTATAACCTGTTTCATCTCTAAAGAGAAATTCTATAAAACATACACTTAAGCCTGCAAAAAACTGTGTAGGGATTATAAAAATAAATGGCATGTAATAGCTACCATTAAAGAAACTGGAGCCATGGGGCAAAGACACTTGGGGCTTTGATTGGCCGTCAGGTGACCTCATAGGAGGGAAGCCTCAAGAAATCAAAAGACAGCTATATATGCACGTACACTTGGAGGAGCGGAGACAGGGTCCGGGGCAGCAGGACAGTGAGTGTGTGCCCTGCAGGAAGGACATTGGTTCTAGCTACATAAAACTCTGAGCGTGGATCACATCTGACTTTCTAGATTTTACGTGGTATCTTCTAAGTTTTAAATGAGGATTTGGGGGTCCTATAGGAGGGCAGAAGGTGGGAGGAGAGGGAAGATCAGAAAAAATAATCGGCAACCAGGCTTAATGCCTGGGTGATGAAATAATCTGTGCAACAGACCTCCATGATACAAGCTTACCTATGTACAAACCTGTATGTGTACTCCTGAACTTAAAAGACAAGGGCTTAAAATTTCTAAACCCTCTGTACGCTTAACAGAAACACATCTGAAGACAATAAAAAACTGTCCATTTGTCAACTCCATTTTCACACAAAAAGCAAGATAAAGTGTCTCTCTTCTGTAAGAAGAGAGGCTGTGACTCTAAGGGACTTCTCAATATCACAGAAAGCACCAAATAGAGAAGGAGTGATATAAAGCTCCCTCTTTTTATTCCAGTACATCTGTGGGACCCTAATACAACAGATTAATCTGGTGGGTCATTGTGCACAGAAAGCACTGCCTCGTATCTTTACCATTTTTATGAAAAATTTGGGAATAGTGTACCCTAATTACCTAAAGAAATTTAAATGGCACGCTTCCACGACCACAAGTGGGGGGGACTTCTGTGTTTTTTAGTATGTTGCATATATCAGAAGCTCTTAAAAATCACTGATTTCACCCATACTCAACCATTTAATAATGGACATTTCCTATCTAATTAGACAAAAATGTAACATCACCAAACTAATATTATTCTACATATAAATTTTTAAGACTTTTAAAACAGGTAAGTAATTGTATCTCGCTAAAAACTGAGTTGATACTAAAGGCCCAAGTGAATTCCAGTCCCGAGTTCCTGGCTTTTGGACAATTACAGACCTTTTTGTAATAGCTTGGTATGTTTTTAAATAGAGTCACAGAGTCTGTCCCAACTGTATTCTCTATGTCTCAGGAGTTCTGCTGTCTAACGTCAGTTATTTTTCTTCACTTTTCATACTATGACTGTAATAAACAATCCACAGCTTTGCATTTTGCTGACAAATACAAATTCAACATTGCAAAGCAGTGTCACTTAGATATAGGCATAATGTTTTAAAAAATGTGATGTGCTGATGAGTTTCACAGTAGTTATGAGCTCAAGGTCAACGGCTGAGGCAAATTCACTTCAGAGAAAATTACCTTATTTGTACACTCTTTAGCTAAGATCTGAGTAACGGGAACAACCTTTTATAAAGTAAGTGCATTTTCTCTTAGCGTTATCAGAAGTTATGTTAATAGCCACAAGGTGCTTAAAACTGAAAAGGAAAATTATAGATTCTTGCTTAACCATTAAATATTGTCAGCATACTCTAGTTCTGACATACTAATAGAAAAGATAATAAAACTCATAAATCCACTGGCTGTCTGCTTCTAAGATTTACTGTATTCAAACTGGCCAACTATAAGACAAAATATTATGTTGAATATCCTTTTAGCTACCTCAACAGAGGGCCCACTAAGATGATAATTTATGGACAAAAAACAGACAGGTATGGTATAAGAGCTGTCATCCAGATGAAGGGAGGCCCTCAATTATAACAAATAATGTATTTTAGTACTTTTATCTCAAATGTTAGTACTTTTATCTCAGATTTCTTTGTTTCCAACTTTATCATCATTTTATTAAAATTAGCTGTTATTAGTATGTAGAATAAATGACTTTTTCATTGCGGTTTTATTTTTCCTTCATTTTCTGAACTAAGATAGACCCTGAATAAAAATTCCATGCAAAGCCAGTGATTCCCTGAAGCAAGTCCTTGGCCTTGTGTTGGCTCAAGACAGAAGTCTAATCCAGTTCACATCAAAATGAGAAAAAAAGGCGGTGGTGGTGCAGGGGGAGTGATAGATTTTCAAATGGCCCAACTGTACCACTGATATGACCTTTTGTCTGAGGCTGTCCATTTCATTAATTTGTTTAATATCAAAGAGTATGTTATGAAATGATATTCATTATAATTAGGAGCTTCCCTAAAACTTTTCAAATAAATTTATTTTCTAAAATTAAAGGTTAGAAAGCCTATATTGGGCCCCTCTTTAGTTTTAACTTCAATTAAATCTCTAAGTCTGAAAGCCACTGCTCTTCGTGACTCAATAAGCAGGTTTAATTATCTATAGGGAGGTGCCCTGCTGCTTGGATGAGGTCAGAAAAGGACCAAGAAGGGAAGGGGGAGGGTGGGTCCTGAAGGGTGAGGATGAGCTATGTACCCTCATCACCCCACCCCCAACTCTGGGATCACTGTGGATACTGCAAGAGACCACCTCTACAAATTCATGAGTCTAATTGTCAAACTATTAAATTTGGGCAGTTCACTCTGTGACTTTGACCCTGGAAACTGACCAATGATAGCACAAAAGTATAGCACAAAAACACTGGTAGAGAGGATGCTATTCAGATGAAAAGTGATGTAAGAACTTGTTAACTTCTGGCTTCTCTCCCAAGTGTGTGATGGGGGAGCAAGGGGAAAGGAGACAGAAACCTCAGGGTGGGGTGTTTCACCACATCCCTCACCACTCCTCTCTATCAAGAAACTGTGCTTCACTCTCCCTTTATCTTCTCCTCTTCCATTCTGCACCACATGTGCACATGCACTCATGCCTCAACTTTCTTCTTTTTACTCCAGGAGATTCAGAGATTGGCTGAAGGGTCCTCTTTGGCGACAGCTGAAATTGAGAGTATTGGGCAGTAGGCCCATCTTATAACCTACCCAAACAATTTGTGGGCCAAACTGCAGGGGGTCTAACGTTGGAAATCTCAATTAATATTTCTTCTTGAAAGCAATTAATTTTAGATTACAGAAAGAGTCAGTAGTTAAACTCAATTACTTTGGGAAAGCAATATTATTTCTCTCAATGACAGCAAAAACTAAGCCAACAAAACACACAATCTAAAGGAAGGCAGATTTCTAAATGAGATGTAACGAAAGACAGCAAAGCTCATCTTAAAATTCTAAGAATCTGTCACAATCTGTCTCTCAAGGTTCAGCTGAGTTCAGTGGTATTCCCTAGGTCATGTGGCTATTTCTTCTCAGTCTAATCAAACATTCTTTGAGGAATTTTGGATGCAAAACTACTTCACAGGTTTTTTTTTTTTTTTTTTTTTATGGAAAATGAACTGATGGAAACCATGTTTTCCAACTGAGAGATTTCAATTCTCCGTGAGTGCTCTGGCTTTACAATCCCACAAGCAAAATGCTCTCAGGAAAGCAGCTGTCTTTGGCATTCAACTTTTCTCGTCATTTTTCTTTTGTATGTATGTACACATAAACACACACACGCATGCACACACACAGTACCACTGTGACAACAGCGTCTTTTGTAATTGGGGACCTGGCATGAGACATCCTCTGACAGAAGTGAGTGTGGTGTGTACCACTTGGACCCTCAGCAGCTACTGCTGGCACAGAGAGCCCTGCTCAGGTGGGGAGCGGGGGTCAGGGACACTGACCTGCACCGGCTCAGGTGGAAGCTGGACTACGTGTTGCATGCGTTCACTGTGGTGGTGCCTCGACTCCTCCTCGTAGATCACATCCCTCTCATGCTGGGGAAGGTTCAGGAAGCGACGGATAGTACAGAGGTTTTCCCAGAGGGTGCGGTTTTCTGGGCTTGGGTTCTCCTTCCAGCGGAGCAGTTCACACAGCCAGCCCTGGAGAGAGAGGAGGTTGCTTGCATTAACCTGGAGAGTGCAGAGGAGCTGAGGGGACCTTGACTGCGGTCCGGTGCCATCCCAGCAGTTCATCATTTTCTGTCAAAATTGTTCCCGCCAACCAGGGGAGATACTGAAACAGTATGACTCTAAAAACCAACCCCTGACCACATGGGTGGTTATACCAACGCCCAAGAATCTTTCCTCTTGTTAAATATTGTATTGCTCTGCCTACAGAATAGATTCTCAATTGAAGTTTCTCCATAAAAGATAAGCAAAATTACAGTTACCCGATTCTCAAAAAAAGTAATTTGTGTCGGTCAGCTACAATTTTTAAAAATTACCCAACTGGGCAGCACTTCATGCTAAGAAAAGAGTGAGGATAAACAAATATGCATTACAGGACAGCAAATTCTAAAAAATAAAAATCGTTTAGGTGTAAACAACATGAATTCTCTAGGGAGGAAATATTCTTACAATTATCAGTAACTCCACAAAATAGAAGCAATAACCTTGGCTAGAATGAAAAGAAATGTATATGTGCTTAATCTCTGAATACCTTGGCCTCTAGGCCCTCTTAACCATCACCTTCCCGCCACAGCCACACCTGCAGGAAGGTAGGCAGTTGGTCGGGTCACACCTGCAAATGTCTGCTTCCAAACTCTGGCATCCGGATGTTCTCTCTCTTGCAACTGCACGAGAAAGAAAATGTAATGCAAATAATGATGGATTATATGAAAATAATACAGAGGATGCTGTCAACATCGCTCACTGACTCATGTCAAAATATTTTACCCAGTAGCTTTCTAACCCATCATTTCCAAGCTATGTCGCTAATTTTAAAAACAAGAACTGTCCCACATCACGCCTTTTGCAAAAGAGTAAAAAATTTTTCTTAAAAGGTGCATAAACAGAAATGACTTTGTGAAAAATAATTCCCAAACCTCAACAAATTCTGTATCATCATTTGTAAGCCAATGAAAGTTCCTGACACGCATTATAAAAACCCCATATAATATCATAAGCCGTTGTTTGTCTAACTCTCCACTGTGTCTTCTGCCTTTACCCAAAAAAAAAAAAGGCAAGATTTGATTATCTCCGCTGCATCAGCCAAGACAGCAACACCAGCTGTTCTCATTGTGCAGCCTCTTCCTCGCGGCCTCCATGTTAATAACCTGATCATTCCATTTTCTCCTTCAACTGCCGGCTGCAGCACTGCGAAGAGACAAAAACCCAGGCCCATCTGCAGCAGCTGTAGGCACTGAACTGTGAAGCCACCGGGGATTTATAAACTAATCTGTAACACAACACTGCCTTGTTTTTACAAGTGAGAGGCCACATTTGCGCAGACCTGATCTTTTCTTGCAATAAACTGGAAGCTTGGGAGAGTTAGAAGGTTAGGAAGAATGAAAACAAGATATCTTATCATTTGCTTGGAAGTGTTTTTCCAAGTATTGTCATAGATTTTTTTTTTTCAGCTCAACTGAAAGGCAGGTAATGGTTGATTTTCAAGGTGCAATGTATATGAAAAATGAAGACAAATTTTTTTTATCCCTACCAGAAAATAAACTATATTTTTTAAAAATCTCCTAGTCCCCAAGTGTTTCCTCAAGGGTTTCTTTGCATAAAGTAAAAGAATTCTTGAAATGGAAAACAAACCATCTGTGGAAAAATAAGCTCCTACCTCTCTATCTTTTCACAAATCTGAATAAGTCTCCAACTGAATTCTTTCCAATGTTTCAAACAGGTATGTTTAACATCTCCCAGGGGAGGCAAGGGCATGGAGACCAATCATTTAATGGAAAATAGAAACAAAAACCTGCATCTGTTAAAAGATGAAGATCTGAGATACCCAGATCTTAAGGAAGACAGCACCTGCTGTTCTGCTTAAGGATTGAACTGCATTGTGGGAAGCTGCAGCTAGAAAGGAGACAGGTGACAGCTGAGTGGTATCTCCACTTATGACACTGGGAATGTCTTGCACAACATTCATTGCCACATTTGATTTATATGCGCTGTTATAATCTGCACTCATTACAATCACTTAGAACAACACTACAGGACTCGTTATGGACTGTGTGCTGTCTGCCATCAGTCTTTAAGAAGTGTAGTGCTCAATTTGCCCACTGACATGCAAGGTCTTGACCTTGAAGCTATTAGGGAGCAGATTAGACACAAGTGTGATCATGTGTGCAGACATAAGCAAACTAAATTAATTTCTGGCACAGGGAGGTAGCCAACAAGACCCTGTTCTTAGGGCACCAGAGGACTTCCTCAAATCCCTGATGGAGCTGAGCTAATAGCATGTTTAAGGGAACCCAGTTTTAGAGATGAAGCAAATTCATGGTATTTAGAGGGTTATTAATCTAGTTTCCCCACAAAGTGTTTGCTTGGCTGATCAGATTAAGGGATGGAGCCTTCAACAGCGCACCCCCACCACAGCAGGCCCCAAGAAATCTGTGATACTTCACAGCCTTGGACATATTGCACCATGTGTACCCAGCTGCCTCAATAATTAGCTTTGAATGTATCAGCTGGTTCTGTGATTTTTATAAATAATAACTAACCTACAGAGCAGAAAGACTGTCAAGAGCCTTATAGTAGCACAAAATTGGAAGGTGATCCTAACTCTACCTTGCTCTTCTCCTAAAGGCTGTTATTCCCTACTATGAGCATTCCTGTGATGCCATTTATAGGTATTTATTTTGTATCTGAACTGGCAATGTATTTTTGTGTCAGTTTTCTTCATGGCAGCCATGACTTGCCTTCCCCTTGCTCTGGTTCGCTTGTTCATTCCACGTATTTGTATGCCTATCTTCAGGGAATCTATTCTTCCACCTCACTTCCCATCGCACGCACCATCATTTTATTCATATCATCTTTTCACCAGCGCATTTTGGATGCTTATCTCTGTTTTCTCAATAGGGTCTCTTATTAGCTTGTTTGCTGGCTAATGAATGTGTGAGAAAGTGCCACACGGTTGCATGAACACACACGTATGTAACTGTGAGTGAACCCATCACAGAAGAGATAAAGGGTCCCCACATTGGGATTTTTTTCATTTAGATAATTTTTGCATGCCATCCAAGAAAGTTTTGCAATATCAGGCAAAAAAAAAAAAAGTGTAAATGTCAAATAAAACAGTGACAGATGACAGTATTCTCTATTGAATAGCAAGCACTGTTTCTGTCGTGCATGTTCAATGGGAACTCATGAATTATTAATAAACAAATCTCCTTTTTCTGTTAAAAATCTCAAGTAGGTTTTTTTGTTGTTTTCTCTGTGTTATGTGGAGCATTCCATGAGATTATTTTCATTTCAGAAATGCTGATACAGAAGTTCATCTGGTTTCCAGCCTTGCCCAGCTCTGTGAGTGGGCACTATGAACTGTGGAGTATATACTTCCCTGGGATTTCTCTCTTAGACTGGTTTTAAGTTTTGAGCAAAGGTTGGATGGATAGTCATATAGTCCATTTAGCTTTCATAGTCTGGTAAAACCAGGACTAAGTGAATTACAAGTATTTGAGCATAGCTAGGAAGTATAGAGAGTATCAAACCTGGATCTCTGAGATCTATCTGCTAAGTTCCTGGTCTGTCATTAAATAGCTGTGACCTTTGGGCAAATAATTATCCTGTTCAAGCTCCTGGGTGCTTAGCTGTAAAAGGATGGGTGTGTTAACAAAAGATGGTCTATAAGTTCCTTTTTGGTTCTACATTCCATGATCTGTTACCTTTGTTATCTGTCAGAAATAGCAGATAGTGATAAACCATCAGGGTTAAAGGTACAAAGAAAAAATAACCTTGACAAAGTGGTCAAGGTCAGCCTAACTAGTGATGATATACTGACACCATGAATGTGCTGATATGATGCACTGCAAAGGATACAACATCATATGTGAAGTAGCCTTGCCCAAAATGCATAACCTCAGTTGAAACATGAGAAACTATCAAACAAACCCAAATGGAGAAGTGTTCCAACAAAATAACCAAAAATGGCAAGGTCATAAAAGAAAAGGAAAGACTTAAGAACTGTCACAGAAATGCAAAAGATTAAGGAGAAATAATAACAACTAAATGCAATGTGGTTACTGGATAGGATCCTGGCACAGAACATAGACATTAGTAGAAAAACTGGTGAAATTAGAATAAGACTTTTGTTTAGTTAACAGTATTGAAACAATATCAATTTCCTTTTTTTTGTTGTTTGTTTGTTTATTTGACAATTGCACCATCATCAATAATTCCACTATGGTGATAAAAGGTGTCAACATTAGGGGAAGATAGGCGAGGGATATACAATACAGTGCAATGATCCCTTCCATACTAGTTTAGCAACATTTTTGTGAATCTAAAATTAGTTCAAAATAAAAAGCTTTTATTTAGATACAGGAAATACCTGAAACTTATAGAGAAAAACATACATGGAGTCTAAATGTAATGATACCAAGAGGTTCATAATTAAAACTTTATTTTACCTTCAAAGTCTGAATCCAGAGAAGGAATGTATCAATAAGATCAAAGACTGCTTCCTTGCAATCAATGGTTAAAAAGTTCCCAAGCATTTGGTGCATAAGCAAATAATATTTATTCACATCTTATTTTAGCCATCTCCTCAGCCTCTTAAACAAATATATTTCCCTCAGTATAAAAAAACAACTCTGACTGCCCTTCCAACTATGCAGGTGAGATGACACTCCTACCAGTCAAGATATAGTTTGTTTACAATCCACGTGTTCCTGGAAAGTGGCATATCAATCTACATTTACAAAGCAAATCACATTATAAATATATTAGACATTCTTACTATTTGAAGAAATGTGCCATTAATTCTTTCTGGGTGATGAACAATAACTACGTAGCTTATCTTTCATTAAGTTGAGAGATTCATTAATGAGTTGCATAAAGGAGAGAACCTCTAGTTCACAATTCAAGAGCATTAGTAGAGGCAAGAAAAACCACAATTTGCCCCTATTTTTTTTTCATGACCTCGTCTCCCACCA